CCTTGCCTCCTTTTTCTTTTGTCCCCATCCCCCTACCTCCCTCCATTTCTAAATTCTTCCCAAACCACCCAGCCTGCAGGCTGTCAGGGAGGAAAGGCCAACTAGTGGGCAGGAGGCGCCTGGTCTTGGGTGGGAGCCGCAGGAGGGGAGGTGGGAGGGGTCCCAGGGCAGGAGTGGGAAGGGAGGGCAGTGTGGGGGGAGGGCAGTGATTCTGGCCTCCTTCTCCTCCCCACGTGCTGGGGCCGCACCCTCTGTGCTTCTGGATGGGAAAGACCGCAGGAAGGGGGGTGGTGCTGGGGACCGGAGATGGGTGGGAGAGACAGTTGGGGAAGGTGGGGTCCAGGAAGAAGGGATCCAGGGCCCTCGGGGGACTAAGGGATTCCGACAGCTGGAGGGTGCTGGGAGGTGGACTTCACCTTGGAGAGAGACTGGGTATGCTGGTGGGTGTACCTGGGTGTCGTACATGAACGCGTGCCCAGGAGTGTGTATGCTCGCGTGGGGTTGGCATGGCTGAGGGTGTCCACAGCTGTGTGTGTCCCCATGGGCCCACAGCTGTGAGGGGAGACCCTGGATGGCCCAGCCTGGGCACAGCTGGAGCCCCAGTCCCTCTCCTGGCAGATGCCTGACCTGAACATCTGGCCACATCTGCCCACAAGGATGGGAGTCCTGGAGCCCACCTCGGAGCTAGAAGGGCCCAGCTGTTCTGCTCGGTGTGCTCCCAGCTCAGAGAGGGACAGGGCTTGCCCCAGGTCACAGGGGAGGCAGAGCAGGAGCTACGCAAGTTTGGGGTTCCCAGGAGGGGCTGGCTTCCTGGCCTTCCTCTGCTGCTCCCTGGCTGTGAGGCTTTGTGGAGAGCCTGTGAGGCTGCCCTGACCTGGCTGCAGCTGCCTCATCTGTGGGAGAGGTGACTACGGGTGAGGCCTGTGTGCTCCCCGAGGCATCTGGGAGAAGCCTGGTACCTAGGGTGACCAACCTGCCCCAGTTTGCTGAGGGCTCTCCCTGTCTCAGCACTGGAAGTCCCAGATGCTGGGAACCATCCTGGCCCCCGAGCAAACAAGGATGGTTTTGCTGTGTCACCAGGAATGTTTCTTTCTTTCTTTTTTCTTTTTTTTTAAGATTTTATTTATCCATGAGAGACACAGAGAGAGGCGGAGACACAGGCAGAGGGAGAAGTAGGCTCCCTGCAGGGGAGTGCGATGTGGGACCCGATGTGGGACCCGATGTGGGACCTTATCCCAGGTCTCCAGGATTACACCCTGGGCCGAAGGCAGGCGCTAAACCACTGAGCCACCCGGGGATCCCCATGGAATGTTACTTTTTCCACCGTGTCCTTCCCACTGCTACCCCAGTGGCAGCATCCCGCACCTGGAACTTGTCCTCTTCTTCCTGTCGTCTCGCTGTCCCAGGGACCCCTGGAGTCTCACTGTCCTTCACACTGTTTCCGGTGCTGTTCCCTCTCTGTTCCCTCTCTGTCACAGACATCTCCAGTGCGGCAGTCACTCTCTGGGGTCTCTCTGTCTCCTCTCCCGTCCCTAGGATTATCACCTTATTGGTTTCTCCAGTCTGTCTCTCTGTTCTCTGCCCACTTCTGGATCATCCCTCTCTGCCTCTGGCGTCTGCCTCCCTGTCTCCCCATTCCTGTTCCAGTGTCTCTGGCTCCCCACCTTCCCTGGGTGGTCCAGGCCTCCCTCCTCTCTCCCGGCACGCACCCCCAGGGCTGGCTAGGGTGGGAGCCAGGTCTGGGGGCTGTGACCAGGCCGGGAAGGGGAACCCAAACAGACATGATATTTATGTTAGGACTTCAAAGTGGAGCAGAGCCTGAGGCAGGCTTGGTGGGAGCCAGTGTGGGTAGGAGAGGGGAGGAGGGTGGTAGCAAAAGCTCAGGCCCCTCCCTGGTGAGGGTCTCCTTGTGGACACTTATCTCCCCCATGGGACACAGACCTAGAGTGGGGACAGAACAGGCTATTTTGGTGCAGAGTTCCAAGAAAGGCACTTCCTGTGCATGCGTGCACGCACATGTGCGCACACAGACACACACACCCTCCTGCCTCCAGCCCCATCCTTTCTTCCTGTCACCCTGCAGGAGCAGCTGGATCCTCTGAGCATCAGCCCAGCCAGGGAGGCAGGGGGCTCAGGAGGTGGCAGGAGCAGAGAGCTCCATCTCAGCAGGAAAACAGCCCTGGCGCTGGGACAGCTGTGTGTTCTCCGCTTTCTGGCAGAGGCCTCGCCTGGCAGGGCAGTGAGGGTCTGTAACCCTATCAGCCCCGACTGGGCCAGCCCCGTCCAGCCCTTCAGGGCCTCTGGGGTCCACCCCAGCTGCCTGCTTGAGGGCCTAAGGAGCCGTGAAGGTCACCCCACCCTTGCCCCCCACCCTTGGCCTAACCCCTGCTAAAGACACCCAGCTGCTGGGGCTGGGAAGGCTTGGGGTCAGGGGCCCAGGCCCTAGTGGGGAGGGCGGGAGGGGCTGATTGTCTCATCCTGCAGCTCAGCTCTGCGTCCTAAGCCCCTCCCAGGAGCCAGACCAAGCAGACACCCCTCATGCTGGGCCATCCCTCAGGAAGCCCACTCCCATACTAGAGGCCTGCTCTGGACTCAAGATGCTTTCTAGTGTGAAGCCCACCCAGGCCCCCAAAGCCCCAGCCCCTGGGTCATTACCCTCACCCTCCCAGATCCTCCCCAGGCGCTTCCCGTGAATCACTCAGGCTGGAATCTGATGAGCTCAGGCCTCCCCGCCCAGTACTGCCGGCCTCTGCCTCCTTCCTGGCCAGTGGGCTTGCCACACCCCCCACAGGGGTCTTCTCAGCAACTCACAGCCCCCACAGGGTCCACCATGGACTGGAATGGCTGAGTGTGGCAGGGATAGGCCAGGGCTGGAGTGAGATTAGTCAGAATAAGGACTTGACCTCGAGCAGCCCAGGTGGCTCAGCGGTTTAGCGCCGCCTACAGCCCAGGGCGTGATCCTGGAGACCCAGAATCGAGTCCCATGTCAGGCTCCCCGCATGGAGCCTTCTTCTCCCATATTATTAAATAAATAAAACCTTAAAAAAAGGGGGGGGGGCTTGGACCTCTTCTGCATGATCAGAAGTATCAAAGTCTGCATGCGTATGCGTGTGTGTGTGTGTGTGTGTGTGTGTACACTTCCTATGCCCGTGCAGAGTGAGAAGGAAGCCCACGTGCCGTGTCTGAGTGGGGGACTTGGCTGTGGCAGTGGCAGTGCTACACGGGTAGGTGTGTGTTATGGAATCCCTGTGTGGCAGTCATCACATGTCTCTGTGTCAGCCTGTTCCCATGTATGTGTGTCACGGAGTCACAATCTGAACCATGGTGGCAGGGAGGGTGTTGAGGGAATGTCTCTGAGTTTGCAGATCTAAGGGTGTCTGTAGGGTGGGGCTCAGAGGAGCGGCCTATGTGTGTGTCACTGTGTCCCATCCCGCAGGCCATGAATGGCTAACAGTCTCCTGGTGTTCCTGACGTTCTGAGAGTTCCTGTTAAGGCTGGGGGTGCCTAGGTGTTCGGTACATGACCGTGGCATGCAAGGTGCCACAAATTCTGCGCACAAACATGAGTCAGGATGTTTCTGTATTCAATCGGGGAGGGGGTTGGTGAACATGGATCACAAGACCACGGCAGGGTGTTAAATGCTCTGTGTTGAAGGCAAGTGATGGTGGTGGGTGGGTGTCAATGACTACCTTTCTCCCCAGCCTCCCAGGGCCCCTCTCAGGCCACCCAGCTCTCCTTCCCAACCTCTGTTGGCAGGACTCCTTTCAGAGGACAGGCCTAGGACCCTACTGTGGGGGATGGCCCCCGGCGCCCCCGCCCCTCTCCCCCGGCCTGGCACCAGGCTGAGAGCCCGGGAGTCCCGGCGGCCTCCTGCCTGAAGGAGGCCGGCAATGCGCCTGGGAACGGGTGTGCTCGCCCCCTGGCGGCAGCAATGGAGGATGCGCCGCCGCCTCCCCAGGAATTCGGAGGAACTGTTCAGGCTGCGTCTTCCTCAATCAATCATTACACGTACATCTACTGAGTGCCAGTTCCGGGCCAGGCATTGTTCTAGGCGAACAAGGCTGACTTGGCTCTGACCTAGTGGGGAAGACAGACCGGGAGCTGTGGTGACTCTAGGGGTGATGAGAGCAACATTTCCAAGCCAGGAAAGGACTTGGCTGCTGCTTGAGAGCGAAACTCTGCCTTCCAGCCCTGCTCTGCAGCAGTGGGTGCTGGACAAGGTGCGGCACCTCTTGGTGACTTCCTCTTCCAAAAGGCCAAAGGTGGGAGGCAGCGTCAGTAAGGGGCACTCCTGAATCTCAATGCACACACAGGGCATGCTGTTCTTGCCAGATCACACTCATTTCCCTCTGCCTGGGGCTGGGGGTGCTTGGTGCTTGGTCCATTAGGACGCAGGAGAGTATTGCCGAGAGGATGAGTATACGAGTGCTTCTGTGTTGGAGGATTGCAGAATCTGAAGTTCCACAGAACTTGGCAACCCAGCTCTTTGCCCTTTACTAAACTACTTGCCCTGAGCAAGCCTGTTTCCTCATCTGTAAAATGGGGATAGGTCAGTCTTATATTGGCCTACCATCGCCTGCCCTGCTCAGAGTCCCAGCCCCTGTATGGTGACCCTTGATCATGTTGAGTTATTCGGCCTCGGCCCCTGACCAAGCAGAATGTCTTGAGAAGATAAACTAAAAGGCTCAGTAGCAAGCAGGGCCCGGTAGTGCTCTGATGAGCCACTGTGAGGAGTGTGCTGAATTCCCAGAGCCAGAAATTGGGACTGAGCACAGCTAGAGGGTTAGGAAGGGGCTTGCAGAGGCCCCTAAGGAAGGGGCTCAGAATCCTCTGCCAGCCCCAGTTCCCATGACGTGAGCTCCACATCTGGCCCTGGGGTTCTACGTCTTCCTCTGGAACTGAACTTGAGGCATCCTGTGTTTGGTTCCCAGAACCCAGGCCTCCCTTAACCTCCCAGCTCCCCACCTCACTGACCTTCACTCTTATTTATCAAACTCAAATCAGGGGACAACATTTATTGAGTGTCTCCGTAGTGCCCCAGTGCTGTGCAAGGCACTGAGGTGTGGGCATGGGATGGGGAGGGAGGACATACAAAAGGGGAGACTCCCTATCAGCAAAAAGCGTGGAGTGGTGGGTGAATATGGGGTGGGAAGAGCTGCTGGTGGCCCAGTGAAAAATTTGGGAGCCCTGCACCCAAATCTGTATCTGGACTGTCTGAAATCCCAACGTCCAGGATTTCTCTCTTCCAGTTGTCATTGTCTGTCTGACATGCGGGCTGATGTCCTTTTGTGCTCAGCACTGAGGGAGACTGGCTGGGGTCCTCCTTCCACCAGGGCCAGGTGTATAGTGATCCCCATGGAGTTAGCGTCCCCCAGATCCCCGATTCCAAGGGAGCTGAGGGCCCACAGCACTGGCCCCTGCCCCGACCCCTGGTTGCCTGGTGGCTGCCAGAGTACAGAGCCTATGACCACCTAACTCTGTGGGGCCCTGGAGCCGCCCTCACCCCTCTGAATTACCCACTCTGCCACTTCCTGGGCTACACGCACCCTCTTGTGGTCGTTACTGGCATCTTCTTTGCTCCGATTTGCTCCCAGCTCTGCCCCTCCCCCCCACTTTGGGGCTGTAGGGCATTAGGGTTAATTTATTGGTGACTTAGACTAGAGGGTGTCTTTGTAACCTGACACCTGGTTTGGGTGGGGAACCCTTAATGGCTGACTGTGCAATCAATATCTCAAGAGTCACTTCCCCAAACCTCAGTGTGTAATAAACTGTGCCCAGCCTCCCGTGAAGCTCTTGTGAGGCCCAGAAGAGGCTAAGTGCAGAGAAAATAGTTTCCAAGCACCCTTCCATTTGAGAAGCCTGTCTCCCCTGTTCAAGTCCCCTGGGCTGCCAGAGTGTCTGGCAGGACTTCCCATCTTGAGGATGGACTGGGGTCTGGGTGATCCTCCGGCTGGGATCTCAAGGATCTCCTCTAGAATCACAGACAAGAGCCTTCAGTGAATGCACACAACAGACCCTCAGAGGGGGTGTTGCTAACAGCACACCCCCACCCTCTCCTTCCCTCTAGTCTGAGCTCTGCTTTGCATCAGAACCATCCATGTGACCCCTGGAGGACTTCTGGGAGAAGGCAGGACAGCAACAGCACCCCCTCTTTCTAGGTGAGGACACTGGAAGACTGGCATTGTTAGTCTTCCGGGTGGGCTAAGGCCAGACTGGGCTCTGAGCCCTTGTGGGGTCCCTGAATCCTCCTGACCCAAAAGCAGGTGAAGCCTTCTGGGGCCCTGAAGCCCCAAGCCAGGAGGGGCTGCCAGCACAGCGCCTCTGCCCCACTGCTGCCACTGCCAGAGGCTGGGCCCCTGTTGAGTTTGTCCCTTGCCAGCACTCTGGCTACTAAAGACTGGTTGGCCTCCAGCTGGGAGGGAAGGGCAAGAGGCAAAGAGCCTTAGCCCTTGGTGTGGAGTCCCTCAGATCCCCTCAGCTTTATTCCAGTGTTCCATTATAGCCAGTCCAGGCACCACCCCTGCAGGTGTGATCACAGAGATGAGTATCAGACAGAGGGTGGCACGCCCAGGAGTGGCCTGGGGTGGGGAAGCCTGAGAGGGGTGGGCCTGAGAGGCATTCCCAGCAGGCTGAGTTTTATGTCCCAAATGACCAGTCTGGCCCCTTCCAGCTACTCCTCTGCTGCCTCAGCCTCTGGCCCCCCTGGCTGAGCAGGGCCCTCCCTAGCCTGGCCCATACCTCCCTCGGCCCTTTCAGTAATTGTCTCAGACTCTCCTCTGCTGTCCTCGGGACTGGCTTTGACCTTGAGGGCCCCATCTCCCTGGCGCCCCCCCACCTCCTCCCTGCCCCCTGCCTCTGGCTGCCCACTGCGGACCTCTGGTGCAGCCCTAGGTGTGGCCTCCTGGGCCTCAGGCTGCTCTGCCCTGCGATAGACCAGGTAGCTGGTTGTGGGAAGCCTGTGGGCCAGGGCTCCAGGGGGCAGGCAGTGGTAGCCCTGCTCCTTGTATAGGAAGAGGCGAAATGTGTCAGGCTGGGTCACTCGGAACTTGGTGGCACAGAGCTGGCTCAGGGTGGCAATCGAGGCCCCTGGGGGCACTGCCAGGGTCTTGGAGGTACAGCCGCTGCTGGGGTCCTGATAGGCTACTCGGAGGAGGTGCTGTGTAGAAGGAAAGCAAGAGTTCGATCCTGCCTGGCATATATCTGGCTGCAAAGCCTGAGGTCCCAGGGTAGGCTCTTTGGGGACAGGGTGGGGTGGTATAAATCCAGTGGTAGAGCCAAGAGACAAAAGCTGTTTGGACAAGGTGAGTTTCAAGCTGGGCTCAGAGGAAAGGAGAGATCTGCCTTGGCTAGCGGCTGGAAGGGTGGCCCCAGCAGGTCTCTAGAGCCCAACAACCAGATTCAGAGCCTACCTAAGGCTAAGCCTGGGCCCTAAGCGCATATACTGTGTCAACTCGTTTAATCCGCACATTGACCCCAGGAGGCAAGTACTGTAACCTCATTTTATAGATGGGGAAGCCAAGGCACAAAGAGGTTACATAACTTGCCCAAGCTCCTGCAAACAGAAAGTAGCAGAGCCAGGATTTGAACCTGGCATCTGGCTACGGGATGTGAACTCTTAACAAAGTCTAGGAAGGGTCCCTTGACTGGATGGAGAGGAGGGTAGGGGGAGCATGGGCTGGGAGCCTCACTCCACGGGAGGGCAGAGCCCCAGGCAGAGGCCAGAAGTCAGGATGTGGGGCTTGAGCTTGCCACCATGTCATACCTCAGTTTCTTCAGTCTGTAAGGTGGGCATATACTAATGGTCCCAATTTGGAATTTCTATGAAGCTGCAGGGCTGAGCCCCTAGAGTCACAGAGCACGGTGCTGGCACACAGAATGCACCCTCTCGAGAAAGGCTAGGGTTTGAGGTTTGGTCCCCATAGGGTGCCATGTCTATGACAGGGTGATATAGGACTAGCCTCTCCCTTGTTGGGTCTAACTAGGGGAAGGGGGAGACTGTGCAGGGTGATGCCAAACCCCCCCTTCTGCCCTGTGCTGGGGCTGGGCAGCTCAGCAGATGGGGTGGATGCCCAATTACCTGGAAGCTGTGGGTGGCGGGCAGGCGGCGCTGCTCCCAGAGGCTGAGGGAGCGCTGTAGCTCCTGTGACGGGCTCAGGGGGACGGTGTGGGCCTGGTCCAGGCCACTCAGCAGGGCCAGGCTGGCCGATAGGCTGGTCAGGTAGTAACCGCCTAGGACACAAGGGGAAGATTGCAGCTCAGGCTAGGGGTAGGTGACACTTCGCCACCCCCCACCACTTAATGGGGACCGTGCAGCCCCTGAGGCAGCCTGGTCCCACACAGGCAGGTGGAGGAGCTTCCTCACCCTCTCCGGTGAGCAGGGTGGGCTCCAGCAGTTCTGACATGTACTCAGCCTCCAGCAGCAGCTCAGGAAGGTCGCACTGGGCCAGGACGAGGCTTAGCAGTGGGAGGAACTCATCTGCCCCCGCGCCCTCCCCTGTGGGGTGACAGGGGAGGAAGCATCAGTCTCCTCTGGGGCCCCAGGGTCAGAGTCCACTCCTTGTCTCAGAGAGGGACCCTTCCCTCCACCTGCTGGGCCTTGGGTGAAGTGGTCTCTATGGCAACCACAGACAGAGGCTGGGGAGAGGGTGCTCTACTCTCTGGGCCTCAGCTGTACCATCTGTGAGATGGGAGTGTTGGGCTCACTTTCCCCCCTGCTGTGCCATTCTGGAGTCTCAGTGGGAGGCTGCCTCTGCCGCAGCAGGGGGCTGGCTGGTAGTGGGAGGAGGGGGCATACCCGCCTGGGTCCTCAGGGCTGTGTAGAGCAGCTGGCAAGCCTGCAGGAGCCGCTTGACCTGAGCACTGGGTGAGTAGGCACGGAGCAGCTGCAGCAGCTTCTGGTGCACCTGCTCTATTTCTACCGGGGAGGGCAGGCTCACATGGGACCCGAAGGCTCCAGGGCCCTGGGCCCGGGCCAGGCGGAGGCCTTCAGCCAGGCGGCCCAGGGAGCCATTGGCAGAAAGCCGGTGACGCAGGCGGGAGGCCAGGATGGGCCGGAGAGGTTTGAGCACGGAGCGGTGCAGCGACTTCTCCAAGATGTGCTCTGAGGAGGAGAGGCGGGCAGGGTCAAGGGGAGCAGGGCGCAAGTGGGGGCCAGAGTCCCCGGGAGGGGGGTGCAGCCAGAGGGGGAGAGAGATGAAAAGGAGGAGGAATCTCTGGTGAGACGGGAGAATAGTGGGAGAGAGGTGGGGAGCGCGAAGAGCTGGAATTACAGACTCTGCCGCTGAGCCCGTGGAGCTGGGGGCCAGGGTCTCACCCAGTCTCTCAGGCGGCAGCAGCTTCTCAGGGCCCAGCTCTGCGCTCAGCATGGCCCGAGCCCGGCTCAGCGCCTCTCGGACATCCTGCAGCTCCCGGGGCTCAGGGCCAGCCCGCACCTGGGTCAGGAGGTCCTGCACCAGCTGGCCCACAGCCGTCTGTCGGTCCTGCATCAGAGCTGTGGCCACCCGGCCCACCTGCCGCTCAGGCGCCAGCAGGGAGCAGAAGGCCGCGCTCATGGACCGCAGCAGGGGCCTCCGGTGGCCCAGGCGGGGTGAGGTTGCCGGGCTTCCGTGGGCCCTGGGCGCCCCCTCCTCTTCGGAGCTGCTGGGGGAGCCACAGTCTACCTCCCGGAGGGAGGGTAGGGGTGGGAGGCTGGGGCTGGTGCCCCCTGGCACACAGTACCCCACTGAGCTCTCCCTTCGCAGAAGCTGGCGAGGGGGTAACCTGTCTGTCTGGCTGGGGGCTGCACCTGGCAGAATGGGGACCGGGGGAGGTGGCACAGCGGGTGGAGACAGAGGGCTGGAGGTCTCCGTGGACACACGCACTTTGAAGCTCCTCTTGAATTTCTCCCGCTTGGTGGGGCCCAGGTCCCCTGGGAACAGGGGATTGAAGAAGCACAGGGCAGCTCCCGTACCCTGGTCCAGCTCTTGTGGGGGCCGGGGCTTCAGCCGGGGCAGCAGCTGGTCTTCAGATGGGCCCTGCTGAGCCCTGGTGTTGAGGGAGGAGCTCCAGAACTCTAGGGAAGAGAAACCAATTGGGGCCTCGGGGAGGTTTGGGGAGTTGTGCCCAAATGAGGGAAAGGCACTGACTCAGGCCTTGCGTCCACGTGCCTTCCTTTCCTTCTTGGCCTCAGCTAGTCCATCTGTGCAATGGGTAGCAGAAGAGCCCTTACCAATGCCCAGATGGGAGATGGCTTCCAGTTCCTTGTGGGTGGCTGCCTGGCAGATGGCTCTGGGGAGCTGCAGTGGGAGGAGGAGGATGTCTCTGAGGCCAGAGAGAGAAACAGAAAGCCAGGGGTGAGGGATGCTCAGGGCACTGGGGGCTGACAGGACCTGCAGAGGCTGGGAGGACAGGATGTCCCAGGGACCTGGGACCAACGGACACCAGGCACCCTGCAGCCAGGCTTACCGGGTATGGCAGTAGGCGCAGATGAGCTGGACCAGGTCTGGGAACATGAGTTCTGAGCCCTCCAAGGAGACGCCTGAGGGATGGGAAGTGCGGTTGTTCTCCAGAAAACACCCCTGTGCCCAGCCCTGACTGCTTCCAGCCCCTTCCCCCCAGGCCAGTCTTGCTCACCCCCAGGGCTCTCCTGGATGTAGTGGCTAGAGACAAAGGAGGGGCCACTGGCCTCGGGCAGCCGCACGCACAGGGCCTGGCACCCGCGAGTGTTAGATTTCCGCACAAGGAACATCTGCAAGGGACAGGGGTCGGAGGCTCGGGACCTCCGTGTCCAGCCTTTCCCCCCCACCCCCGCCTCCCCTGGCCAGTCCCAGGGTCAGGGGCCAGACTCACCCCCGGGGGCTCGGTCCTCAGCACATGCAGTGCAGCCGCCGCGTTGGCCCGCAGCTGCAGCCACACGGGCCGCGTGAGCAGCAAGCGCTCCCGCAGGCTCACGGTGCGCCCGGGCCGCTGGGGCCCAACTGTCTTCCACCCGCCGGCCCCGGGCACATCATACAGTGGGTCCTGGGCTGGCCTAAAGGGTGGGCACCAGATCTGAGCAGAGGCCCAGGGGGTGGGACCCTTGCCCAACCCTTTCCCCCCCCTCTGCCCTGGGACGGACCCTGCTCTGCCATCCCTCTCTGTCCCACGGGGCTGCCCTTCCAACTTCACTAGCTTTTCTCTCTCCGGGTGCCCAGGTGTGAAGTTGGAGAGGCTGGGGGCTCCAAGAGGTCCAGCCCCTGGCTCCCCAGGGGTTTCCATGGCTGGGAGCTCCTTTGGTTTCTCCCGGTTTCTCCCAGGACTCAGGAAGAGAATCCAGCCCCCAAGGCAAGAGCGCTCACATTCCCAGCAGTGAGTAACACTTCCTGAGGGCGGTTCGCCCTGTCACGCCCCGCCAGTTAACTCTTGTGTGTCCCCTTAGCCCGGGCAGTGCCCGCTTCCTCTGTGTTCAGGCCCACCCTCAGAGCAAGGGTCCTCTCCATGCAGTGCCACTCCATGAGCCCCGGCTGTGGGGCTGCCACCTCCACACAGTGCATCCTGAAGCCTCACCAGCCTCCTCAAGGCACACGAGCAGGTGGGAAGGGGTTAAGCTGGGCCCATCTGGGTCCCACAGGCCCAAGTTTGCCCATGGGGCACCTTTAATTAAGTTTGTGGTCAACTGCTCATTTGTGTGCCCCGCCCCGCCCCCCCATCAGCCCAGTGGGAGGGCACCCCCTACTGGTCACAGATGACTCATTCTCCAGCCTAACTTGGGTTTTGGATTTTCAGGTTGCCATGGAGAAAGGATGCTGTGTCTCCTTGGAAACTAACCCCTTTGCTTAACTGAGGTTCTGGGGGTGGTTCTAACACTTGGCGCTAAATGGGATGTGGGTGGGGGAATTTGGTTGTGAGGTCGTCAGCACATGGTGCTGCTGCCAGCTGCCTCCTACACTCCCAGGCCCCGCCAGCCTGCCTTACCAATCTGCCAAGTGACTGGGGCAGGTGCAGACATGACCCAGGCTCCAAGCACAGAGCACACAACCCTCCCCACCCCCGACACATGATCAGCCTGTGCCACATGTTGCTTCAGACTTTGCTCACTCCCCCACCTCTGGGAGGGCCCCCCCCCATACCCCAACTCAGAGTAGGTAGGCTACTGCCAGGTACAGAGAGGAGGTACCAGAGACTCCAGGAGAGCCCACCTGACTCAGGCACTCCCCAGGGTAGCCCTGATTCCCTCGCAAAGTAAATCAGACACACACAGGTCATGCTAGGGTCCCATGGAAGGTTTTAATTCCAGTCCCTGAAATCTGGGAGACATCAAGAACCTCCTTGAGAAGACCTGGGGAGCCTGCCTTCTCACCTCCAACAACGGCCAGGAGAGACAGGCCCCCCAAAATATAATTTCTGGTTCAAAGTTCCCAGGAAGTGGGGCCCAGCTCACTAGCTCAGTGACTAGTCCAAGGTCAGCAGGAAGAATGTTGCTTTGGCTTAAGAGGAGCCACATCTTCTTTGTCTGGGATGGTGAGGAGAAGGCTGATCTCGTGGGTGGAGGGGGGGGGCGCTCACTGGGGACAGGGAAGATAGTCATGTCTGGTTAAGGCAGCTCTGGGCCACACAGTGTGCAGGCCCCGAGGAGGGCAGAGGAGTCCAGACCGTGATAGCTGGAGGGGAAGGCCATGCAGCAGCACTGGGAAGCTGGCCGGACAGACCCTGAGGGGCTTGTCAATCTGCCTTCCTACAGCAGGAAAACGCAAATCCTGGGTTTGCTGCCAGCTGCTCCAAGGGGGCCCTTGGCTCTGAAGAGCAGGGTCATGGTCCTAGAGGGACACCAGAAGGGGAAAAAGCACCGCAGGTAAGAAGCTGAACCAAGAGGGGAACACCAGTGCCTATGGGGTGCTGAGAGGAACAGCCTTGGTCTGGCCCAGGGCAGCTCTACAGCCCTCACCCCTGGGCTCACCAGGGCCACCCCGCTGCTGGGGCCTAGCATTCCAGCCCTCCCTGACTAGTCCTGGTTGCAGGGAGCTTCATCCCATAGCCCCACCCCGGCTCCGCTTCCCCAAGCCCCCAAAGTGCCCTCAAACCCAAACCATTCTAACTGGGGCCACAGAGCTGACATAACCACTGCCTCTTTCTGGGTTTCCTTCCAGGAGGCTGGGCTGGGGGAGGTGGTGGCAGGAGGCAGAACAACTCCTGTGGTTCTTACCATCTGCTTTTCTCTTCTGAGGGGACACAGCTGCCCTAGCCTGGGGGGGTAAGAAGAAAAGCCCCCCTTGAGAGCCCGCCTCCAACTTGGCAAGTAGCCTCCTCCACATCAGCTTCTCTGGGGCGGGGGCGCTGCTGGGTCAGTGCAGCATCAAGATGCGTGGGGAGCATAAGCCCCTTTCTGGGCAAAGCTCTGATGTGGTCTCCTGACAGATGCCAAGCCAGGCCAGGCCAGGGCAGCCCAGCCACCTTCCTTCTCACCCTCCCTCCCTCCCATCCCATCAAAACCTGCCCTGGAAGGAGGAAGGGAATGACACAGATTAAAAGGTCCCTCCTGCAGGGAAGCCTCAGGCAAAAGGGGACTTGTGTGGGGTGCACCTGGGTGGCTCAGTCGGTTAGGTGTCTGACTTTTGATTTCATTTCAGCTAAGGTCATGATCTCAGGGTCGTGAGATCAAGCCCCACATCAGGCTCTGTGCTCAGCATGGCACCTGCTCGGGATTCTCTCTCCCCCTCTCCCTCTGCCCTCCCACCCCTGTGCCACTTGCATGCACGTGTGCACTTTCTCTCCCTCTCTCTAAAAACAAATGGGTGTGTGTGGGGGAGCTTGTGAGCTGACAGCAAAGCCAAGGAACCTGGGCAGAAGGCAGGAGGTGCTGAGGGCTGAGCAGAGCTCCCAGGCCCTCAGGAAGCCCGTGTGTGGTGAGGCCGCAGGGGCCAAAGCTTTCAGGGATGGGGACCTGTCCCAGGGAAGCAGGTGGCACTGGCCCCACCTTTTTGATGGCTGTCCAGTCCTCTAGGATGTCGATCTCCTGCAGCATATACACGATGTAAGGACCTGCAATGGGGGTCAAGGAAGCAGGAAGCCCAGTGGAGGGGGCAGGTGACAGGCCTCCCGCTTGGGAGCTCCAAAACTTGGGGGAGGCAGTGTGGGGAGGCCAGGAGGCTGAGGACCCTGGTTAGAGCTCAGGTTCTGCCTCCTGCCTCTTGGATCCCAGGTTCTTGGGGCAGGGCCTATGGCCTCATGAGTCCGTGAAGCGTACTCAGCCTCACCCCCTACCTCCCCTTAGTTCCTCCTCACTCCTCCCTCCAGTTTAAAGGTCAGTAGGCCAAAACCCAGGTCCCCCACTCAGGGACCTTGATCCCTCTATTCCCTGTCCCTTTAGTATCCCTTCATCTGGCCCCTTCTACACACAGACTTCACAGTCTCTTCCATCCTAGAGACGACCCTCCTTTGGTCTCCCACTCCCTTCCAGAGTGGGAGGGTCTGCTCTGTCCTCGGGCTCTGTACCTGATGCCTCCACACCCTCACCCCCTGTTCAACCCACAAGTCCTCAAGGCCCAGACTCCTCCCTCCCTGCCTGCCCTGACTGCCATCACTGGGCGGCCAGTGTCCTGGGAGCCTGAAGGCTGCAGGAGTACCGGGGGTGCAGGTGGAGGGCATGTGGATCCTGCTCCCGTCTGTGGTGGGCTCTGCCAGGGAGGATGAGGGCTCAGCAAGCCCTGGGCTGAAGTGGCTCATGCCTAATGTGAGGCTGGGCAACTACTGTGTGGGATGTGGGTACCCCCAGTTTAGGCCACAGGGTTGCAGAGGACAGAGAAGCCATAGCTATTGGGGGGAAACCAGGAGAGGCTTCACAGAGGAGATAACGGGCACAGAGAGGCAGCAAGGCATTCCAAGAAGAGGGTGGGAAGTGAGAGAAGGCGGGGTGACGTGGTGGTGGTAGGAAAATCTAGGACCTGTTGGGAATATTGTGGGAAAGCCAGAAGAACCTCAAAGGAGACTTCCCTCAGGAAGTTATGGGGAGTCACTAAATGGATACTTCTGTTTCTCTATCCAGCCCAGGAGAGACCCAGGGCCTCACAGGAAATTCCTGACAGTTGGATTTGCCTGGACATGGCCACATGATGCCAAATGACCATAAACTGCCATAAATGACTGCCTGCCGTGTCCCCCCAACCCCCTCCCTTAGTTTGGAGCTAACCCTGCTGTCCTGCCCAGGTCAGGCCGCCGTGGGTGGAAGGATACCAGAAACGAGAGGTGCCTTCTTCCTCTTGCTGGGTGGCAGGGAGTCCCAGGTCTTTGCGCTGCTTCTGGCGTGCAGTTTGTCATCCCACCACTCTGTGCCCCCAGACCCAGAGTCAGGATCAAAGAGCTGGCCATCCCTGGACACCCCACTCTTGTAGCTGTGTCCATCACATGAGCCAGACCAGCCCCTACCCCTCCTCTCCCTCCCAGGCCAGTGGAGAGCACCCTGGGCCAGGGGCTTGGAAGCTGAGGCCAAGGCTAGATGGCAGAGCCATGCAAGCCTGGGGAAGAGGTCACTGTACTTCTGTGAGCCTGGTTTCTTCATCTGTTTAGTGGGCAGTGTGACAATGACAATTCTGGCCTCCCTGGGATACCATGTGAACACAGGCGCTGTGGACACGGAGGGGACGGTGGCTATTGTATGTGTGGGTGTGTCAGAATGACACCTCCTGTTCTGGAAAGAGATCAGGGGCCAAGGAGGGCAGGGGGACCGTTCTTTCTGAGCCTCCTCTGTGCACCAGGCACTGGGCTGTGTCCTTTCTGTGCCTGGTTCCATTTAGGCCCCAGAGTGACACCAAGAAGCAGGCTCTCCTACATGCTCCCTGTGCAGGCAGAGCAGCAGGTGGTGTGGGAGGGCGGGATGGGGGGTGGGTGGGAGGGGTGGGGGCATGGCTACAACAGTGCCTAGTGCAGCCTCACCAGAGCTGATGTCCAGGCTCTGGCGGTCCTCTTCCAGCCTCTGGATCCGCTCTTGCAGCTCCCCCTGCAGCGTGTCATAGAGCAGCAGCTTCTCACTCTGGAAAGGGTGAAGGTGCTCAGCAGGGTGGCAGGGACAAGCCACCTTCCATTCACCTCCCCCAGCCCAGCCCGCAGTCACATTCACCTCCAGGTGCTGTTTGGCTCCCTGCAGCTCACATTCGTACTTATTCCGGATCACGTCCAGACAGAAGCCCTTGTAGATCCCTGTAGAGGGAGGGAGATGGGAAGCCCTGCTTGGCCAGGGTCTTGTGTGTCCAAAAGGGGGAGCCAGGAGCAGAGCTGGGCAGGAATGAGGAAAGAAGGGAACAGACAGCCATGGGCTCTGGCAGAGGAAGATGCGAGGAGGCCTGGGGTCACCCCAGAGCACAGGACAGCCCACAGACCTGCCACCTGAATGCGTATCTTGAGGCTCCGCTGCAGTCCCCCCAGAGGCTCTGTGTATTCAGGTGCTCTCTCAGCCCCCACTTCCTCCAGCCGCACCCTCAGCTGACTCAGCCGTTCCCTGAACAACCTGGGAGGGAAAAGGCAGCACATGTTTGTTCATCAGACACGTGGCTAAGCGCCTGCTCCATGGCAGGTCCCATGCGTCAGGCCCTTGGCCACCCCTGCCCAGGACCAGGCCCGCTGCCTCCTCACCCCAGGGGGCCTAAAGACCCAGCCCTAGACGCCCCGTGCTCACTTCTCCTTGAGCTCCGAGAACTGTTTCTCCAGGTCCAGCATCTCATTGACGCACTCGCTGCGACGCCGCTCATAGTCCTCGTCGTCCATCTCTGGGACAAGAGGCCAGTCAGCTCTGGCTGAGGAAAAGCGGGCGGACGCTTGTGTGCACATGTTGGGGGCTCACCTGAGCTCTCTTCCTCCGATTCAGTCTGGCTGCCGCTCCGCTCCTCCTCGCTCTCTTCCTCCTCCCCATTCATCTCAGTGGCCGAATCACCCTCTGCTTCCATCTCTTCTGTGTCTTTGCTTGGAGGCTGGATGGGCATCTGGGCTCTGGGAGGAGGGGAGCCATCACTTATCATCACCCTCAGTTCTGAGTGAGAAAGTGACCATGTGGGGAGTCAAACCAAGCCCTGCCCAAATATCTCCCAGAAGCCTGGGAGCCACAGAAACGCTCTCAATCTTGGACATTGTTGGTGATCCCAATCTGGGGAATGCTGGCCAAGGTGATGGTCCACCTGGGAAACACCAAGGATGGATTCCCCACTGCCTCTGGGACTGGGCCCGCACTCATGGCTGGGGTGTTTAAGGACCTGCACAGGGATCCCTGGGTGGCGCAGCGGTTTGGCGCCTGCCTTTGGCCCAGGGCGCGATCCTGGAGACCCGGGATCGAATCCCACGTCAGGCTCCCGGTGCATGGAGCCTGCTTCTCCCTCTGCCTATGTCTCTGCCTCTCTCTGTGACTATCATAAATTAAAAAAAAAAAAAAGGACCTGCACAGACTGGACTTGAAGTACTGAGCCAGCTCCTTTACGCCACCATCCTTAAGTGCGCCATGCCTTCATACTCCCCACCCCGTCCATTGATCCTTTCAGCTGGAATGCCATCCACTTCTCATCCTGAGAACACTCTGCAATCCTCATTTTCTTTCTTTTTTTTTTAATTTTTATTTATTATTTATGATAGTCACACAGAGAGAGAGAGGCAGAGACACAGGCAGAGGGAGAAGCAGACTCCATCCAGGACACGTGGATCAAGCCCTGGGCCGAAGGCAGGCGCCAAACCACTGCGCCACCCAGGGATCCCTGCAATCCTCATTTTCTCGCTGTGTTCTGGATCAACGCCTATGTCCTTCTGCTTTCTCTGGAGCCTCATATTACCAGTACCCCCATCTCCACTGTTTCTCCAAACCTTGACAGCTTCTACCCATGAAATTTTAGATGTGTTCGGGTATTGTCTCCCATTTAGAAATAGCAGAACACAAAACCTCGCCCTATTCCACTTAACCATTCCCCATTTCCCACCTCACAGCTACCTTTCCCAAGGCTCTGGCTGTTCCTACTCTTTCACCAACCAGAGGTTCCATTCCATATCTCTATGATTGCCCTCAGCTGAAGTGAATTCTGTGGCATCAACCGATGTCCACCTTGTGTCCAATGCCAGTATTTTTTAGTGCTTATCTTCGTTGACTTCTCAGGAACAATGAACACTATTAATCATTCTTTATTTACTCATCTAAGATTTATTGAAGACCTAATATATGCCAGGTACTGTCAGATGCTATGGTCAGATGCTGGGCACGATGGAGCAGACAGACAGTCTCTGATCTCAAGGAGTTTGTAGGTTCCTGGGAGACAGGCAATAAGCAGACCGTACTATGGTATGAGAATGGTTAAGACTGGAGGGCATATGGGGGAGGCATCTCACTGGAACCTGGAGCTTGCTCCAACAGTGAGGGCTTGCAGAGGAAGATCCTTGCTGCAGCAATAGGGAGGACTTGCAGACAGATGAGCTGAGATGGCTGGAGAAGGAACATTCCAAGCAGAGTGAATAGCATGGGCAAAGACTCTAGAATGAGAGAAGGGGCAGGGGTGGGGGTACATGAGTCTAAGCCTCAGAGAGAAATCTGGGGTGCAGAGATCTGGTCATCGGCATATAGTGAGTGCTTCAGGCCTTGGGAGAAGGCACAACCAGCAAGGCAAAATGTGTGGAGTGAGAAGAGGTCCAAGATAGAACTCCCAGGGCCACCAAAGGGGCAGGTGATGAAAGCCCTGCAAAGGAGAAGGAAATTAGCAAGAAACAGAGGAAGAGAAGCACAGTCATGGGGAGAAAGAATTTCAGAAGGAAGGACGATCATAGTGCCAAATACTGCCAAGAGATCAATTATGAGGAAGACTAAACAGTCCAACCAACAGCTAATCTCTACCTACTGAAGGCTTCGATTTCACTGTGATGTTCTTCCAACTGCTCTGGGCACGGTACTGTAGTCCTTTAGATGGATACAGACACCACTCCCTCCAGGAAGCTCTACTTGTTTACATCTCCTCTCTATTTGCCCGTTTTCATGTCTGTCTATCCAATCAGGCTGTAAGCCTTACCAGGATGGGGATGCACATGCACCTCATTCACCCAGCACAGTACTTACTTCACAACTGGTGGATATGCAAATACAAATTAAACAAAGCACACTTTTTCAGGGCAGCTTTTACTTCTTGATTGCCCCAGGACCCTGTAGTGGTAGCAAACCCAAAGTATTCTGTTAACTTTCCTTGACACACTGGGACGCCTGGGTGGCTCAGGAGTTGAGTCTGCCTTTGGCTCTGGGCGTGGTCTTGGGATCCGGGAGTCCCGCATTAATTTTCCCTGCGGGGAGCCTGCTTCTCCCTCTGCCTGTGTCTCTGCATCTCTCATGAATAAATAAATAAATCTTAAAAAAAGAAAGCAAAAGCCTTTCCTTGACACAATTTGAGTTGTGTATAATTAACTGGCGCACGGCTCAGCTTAGTCGCATTCTTCAATGATTTCACAAGTGATGTGAACCTGAGCCGAAAACCTCAGTTCTCCAAACCAACCTCATCTTTCCCATTCTTAAGCAGGAACTGAGTTCCTGCAGTTCCCAAACTTCGCAATTCCTCTTCATTGTAAAATTATATATATTTCCTTTGTCTCCAGCTGTCTCTGATTCTACTGAGGGAGCAACATTAAATCACAACCTCCCCTCCTTACCCCAGGTGCAAAAAGAGGCTAGCCAAAAGAGGATAACCGTTGCTAGTCTGAGCGTTCTAAAGATTGCAAGGCGTAGGGGATGGAAAAGGAAATTATAAGGCGCTGTACACACACAATTTATATTTTTAGAAAGTGAGCATTTCGGGGCGGACCTCCACGGAAGGCCGATTCTTGTCCTTGGAGAGAGCCCACCCAGACCCCTGCGCGGCGCGGGGCGCCAGGACCCTCCCGCTCCGTTCCATTCCCGTCTGCGCCGGCGCCGCGGGCGGGGGAGTCACTGCCTCTTCGGCGGCCAACAGCGGCCCCGCGGCGCCGCACGCGTCCGGCCGGTTAGGTCTCCGCTTCGGCCCTGATTGGCCCAGCTCCGACCGACTGGCCAGAACCAGGTGCCCTGAGGAGCGTTACGCACCGTGGGGAGGGGGCCTCCAGGTTGACTTCTGAAACTCCCTGAGAGGTGCCCGCGGCGCCGGGCTCCCGGAAACGACGCGCCAGTCCCTCTACTCCGGGAGGCGGGGCCCGCTGCACTTCCGCATACGTCATCAGGAGGCGCCGGTCGCGAAATTCACAATTAGACAGCTAGCGGCGAAGCATGCTGGGATACCGCGGGGCCGGTCTCCATAGCAACCGGCCGACATTCTCGCAGGGTTTTGGCCGGCTGGCGGAAAAGACCCTCGTGGTTTCCCTGCTGTGCGGTGGGCGCCTCTTGGGCCGCAGCAACCTCCTCCCCACCCCTGTGCCCCCCCCGCCCCGGGGAAGGTAAGAAGCTGCGACCCCACCCTCTGCCCGCCAGGATCAGGAGAGTCATGGAGCCAGCTGTAGGTGTGAACACTCATTTATTTACACATGGTCGTTGGTAGGCAAATAACCCAGTCTGTTCGACGGCACAGATTTGGCACGGAACCTGCAGACCCTTCCTTTCCCCAGAGCTCCCGAGGGTGGAGGCCTGGAAGAACCAGGAAGTTTAGTTTTCTGCCCCAAAGCTAAGAACTAAATTCAGCGCCTTTATCTGATTTCTTCCAAAAAGTCCATTTTGCTAAGTACTCAGACTTCTCAGTTCTGCCCCATTCATACTCTTTGCTCTCCGACTGCTCACCCACCCCAGATTGTTAATAATAATAACAATAATACTGTAATAATATTAATAATACTTCACATTTGTACGAAGCTTACAGAATGTTTTCACATATAGCATCTCATCTGAGCCTCCCAACAGTTCTGTGAGGTAGGTATTTTCACCTCCCTTTTTACAGATGGGATAACTGAGGCTCAGAGAGGAAATGGGATTTGCTCAAGGCCACACAGCTAGTTAGTGGTAAAGCTAGGACTTGATCCCAGCACCCCATATTCAAGTCCAGTGTTCCAACACCACAGCTACCACGGTAAAGTGGAGTGACATTGATTATCCCTGTCAGGCCTGAGGGACGGCCTAAGGAGGGAAAAGGCTGAGACTTCTCTGACTAGGGGAGGGAGGGCCTCAGCAGTGACGAGGGGAGTCAGGGTACTTGGCCTTCAACTCCTGTTTGAACTGGCGGTAAAGGATCTTATTGTGCTGATTTTCTGCCTCCTTTTGGGGATGGAACTTCAAAGCTTCCTTAAAGCCCTTATGAACCAGGAAACCTTCGTTCAGCACCTCGAAATCAAATCCTGCCACGTGCAGCTCACAGGCCTGTTGGAGGAGAGACAGGTCAGTGAAGTTGGATGACATTTCTAGGCCTGAGACTGGCATCCCTGAAGCCTCTCTCCAGCATCCCTACTCCTCTGGAGGCATCTACACCATCCAACCACTTCCTCAACTATGACTATCCTGCCACATTGCCTCCTTTCCATCCAGGACCACTCATAGCTCCCAGCGCCCCCCACTCCTCCTCCCCCATTGCCCCTGCCCTTTCCCTTATGGGCACCTGGCTGATGCGATTGAAGCCGTACTGGCGAAAGCGCTCGTCGAAGGTGGGCACCTTGCCTCCAGCCACGTAGAATGGTTCCCAGGGGTCCTGCCAGGGCACCACGTAGGCAGGCCTCAGCAAGCTCTCTTCTGGCAGGTTGACCCAGCGGGAGTAGTTGGTGGGTGCCTGACAGGGTGTGCACAGCCCATAATAGAAGGGCCTCACCTCGCCCACTTGGTAGAGCTGCAACAGCTCATTCTTGTTTGTGGGCATGCGGCGGGCTCGGCGGATCTCAAAGGCAGGCACCACCAGTGCTGTGCCCGCCCACTGCTTGCTCTGATCCAGCATTTCCCGAAGACCCCTCCACAGCCCCTCACTGGGCACCATGTCCACGTCGATTACCAGGGCATAGTTGGCCCCCTCACGAGCCAGATTCCTCAGCAGGTTATTGGGGTAGGAGACGTTGGTGCCCAGCGCATAATTGATCCCCGGCTGGGCCACCCTGGCTAGCTTGTCAAAGACCTCCTGGCAGGACCGCAGCAAGGCAAACTCCCCAGGCTCCCGGGGATCAGGCACAGCGGCCTCGTAGCGCGAGGGGCACACAAGGTGCATGGCAACCCTGGCGCGCATATCGGGGCAGTGGCTGCTCAGCGCGTAGGTCAGCACCGTGGCTAGCTGCGCTTCCTCCTTGGTGGCCGCGAACACCGCCACGGATAGCGGGCCCTCCCAGCGTTCCAACAGGCCCGACAGGTGCAGCAGGTTGTCCACGCTGGCGTGAGTGGCCAGGATCACATCATTGGGGTCCATGGTGGTCTTCAGTAGGCCCCTGTAGACGCGGTAGTCGCCACTGGCGTCCAGGACGCCTCCAGAGGCCAGAGCGGTGCGGAGTTGCGCCTTGACCTGGTCCACGGACCGCGGGGAAGGGGGAAAGAACTCAAAATACTGGTCTTGCTCCTCTTGCCCGTGGAGCCCGGACAGCAGCGACAGGTAGAGCAGCTGCAGCATCGCCACCAGCATTAGCGCGGCCAGAAGCAGCTGGTAAAAGGCGCACCGGATGGCGTAGGACATCTGCATGGCTCTCGGGGCTCCGAGCGCGCAGCAGGGACCACCGGGCCGCAGCCTTTGCCAGCCGCAGCAAGCCCGGATTTACCGCAGCCTGCCGAGCACAGCCGAAGCGAGCCGAGGCGAGCCGAGCCCCGCGCAGCTTCCCCGTCGGAGCGGGCCTTGGGGCGCGCCAGCTCGCCCCCTGCGCGTGAGGAGGAGCTACTGCATTCGCCGCCGCGCCGCGCTTTGCAAACCCTGAAAAGTGCCCGCGGCCGCGCCTGCGGGGTTCTCAGGGACCCGCAGCCCGCCCTCCCGATCAGTGTGCGACCCCCCCGGGACCCAGCGCGTTCTGAAACACCCGCGCGCTCCCCCCGCCTTAGGAAAGGGAAGCCGCGGCAGAGCTCTGGGTGCAGCTGGGGGAAGGATGATGCGGGTTCGCGGCCGCGGCGGGCGGGATGGAACACACAAAAAAGCCCTTTCTCTTTCCGCCGTCTCTCCCTCCGCCAGGTTCTATGAAACCCACACTGAGGCAGGGATGCGGAGAGGCTCGTAAGGTGCGGAGGAGATGAGAGATAAGTGCATGTAGAAAGGGCCGCTCTACGTGGGACGAGGTGGCCGAGTGGTTAAGGCGATGGACTGCTAATCCATTGTGCTTTGCACGCGTGGGTTCGAATCCCATCCTCGTCGATCGTGTTTTACACGAGGTGAGGGGGGTGTACTTTTCTGCCTTCCTGGGAAGAGGGCCCAGGGTCCAGTGGCCCGTAAAAGACCCGAACTGGAACTCTGGCTGAAGCCAAATTGGGAGCCAATCTATTATCTACGGCAATTAGAGAAACCCCCCTGGAGGTGCCGCCTTATTCTCTAAAGTGGTGGAATTTGGTAGTAGTTCGGTGTCTGATCACTGAAGTTATCACTCTGTTCAGGCCACTGACAGCAATTCTCCTAGGGGGAGACCTCCCACCCCTACCCCCGCAACACACACACACACACACACACACACACACACACACACACACACGTTTAAGCAGGAGGCCTAGAAAACCTAAAACACCGGCCAACATATACAGAAACCCCTTAAAAAGCATTTGTGAAATAATTAATCCATGGGCTCTAGACAAGGAGAGGCTGTGGGGAAAGGCAGGTACTTTCACAGCTCAATCAATTATATATGATAACTATATGAGCTCTGTGAATCTTGGGAAGGTGCAGACCGGGAAGGGCTTCCAATTTTCAGGACAGGGCTTCCAATTCCTCCCTATAGGCAATGGGAAACTAAGGTTGGTTTTGTATTTTAAAAAGCAAGTTTAAATTTTTTTTCTTTTTTTTTAAAGAGACTCAGCAAGAGCATAAGCAAGGGGGAGGGACAAAGGGAGAAGCTGATTCCCCACTGAGCAGGGAGCCCAAGGTGGGGCTGGATTCCAGCACCCTGGGATCATGACCTGAACCAAAAGTGGATGTTTAACCAACTGAGTCACCCAGGAGCCCCAGGAAGCCAAGGTTGATGAATTGAAGAGTAACTAGGGCACCTATATTTTGCAGCCCCAGCAAATAACACCTACTGAGCACCCACTCGGTGCCAGGGGCTGTTAGGCACCCCGGATGAAGCCTTGCAGGGGACTTGACAGGTACTATCTTTGAAGATTTGCACTGGTGACCTGTGGTAGGAAAGTGGACAAAAGTATATGCAGACCTGTTTGGCACAGGCCTTGCAAACTGGAAGCTCAGGTGTCAGGTTTGGTGCTGTTAGGGTCTTTGACCTGCTCAGTGTTGAAAATTACAATTTGAATCACATTAGTTGTTGGCTTTGGCGAATCAGGAGATTTCACATAAAATCCACATTTCCAACTTTTGCTTTAAATTCTGAAAGATCTGGCAATGCCAGGCCTGCATTTCCACAGGGTGACAATTGGCCAGAACTAAGAGTAGCTCACCCTTTGCAAATAGTTTTCTCTCTGCCAAGGTCTCAACCCTGCCCCTTCACTATTCACCCTGGCCCCTGAGCATCTGAGTCTCACCTGCAGCACTCACATGATATCTCCCTCTGTCTGCCCAGGCACCTGGTCACAGTGTCTTCCACCTGCCACACACTATAATGCTAGCCACATAGCCAGCATCAGAATGTTATTTGTTGAATGAGTGAATAAGAAGCTTCTGAAGTGTCCTCAGTGACCTTAGCTTGAGGGGAGTCTGAAAAGTAGCAACTGAATCTCACTGAGATGGCAAGATCAGGGAAAGCTATATGGAAGGCCCAGAGAAAGGCCTACTGCCTGATATCGGGGCAGAAAGGCCTGGCTGGGGAGAGACACTGGCTGTGATAGAGTGGAGCATGAGAGATTCAAAGACCAGAGTTGATGGGATGCCTGGGTGGCTCAGCGGTTGAGCATCTGCCTTTGACTCTGGATGTGATCCCGGGGTCCCAGGATCGAGTCCCACATTGGGCTTCCTGCATGGGGCCTGCTACTCCCCTGCATATGTCTCTGCCTCTCTGTGTGTCTCTCATGAATAAATAAATAAAATCTTAAAAAAAAAAAAGACCAGAGTTGAAAACCATTAATAAGGGATCTGCTTTCCACATACCTTACATTCTGCATC